TTAATTGCGTAAGTTATAGTAAACTCTTTGAATTGTATAGATAAATCTATAACATAGCCTTAAAATGAAATTCACGTATTATATAGAATTCAATATTAAATTTTCCTATACGACGATTGAGAACTCATAAAAATATTCTACATGTTTTACATACTAGTCCAGTAATAAATTTGTAACTAAATGCAGCAAAGAGAGAAAAAATTACCCAACTGAAATTAAACATTTTAAATGTTATCCGTTGAAACTGCACGATTCATATACTTCCTTTTAACGGAAGCTCTGTACTTTCCTATTAATTTGAGAACTATTTTTCCTATCACTATAATAACAAGAATAAGTAAAAGGAAATTCGTGGTTTTTAAATCACTTAAATCTGTCTGTATTTCCAGTTCATTAATTACATTGGCCTGAGGCCTATCGAAATTGGCTTTTGGGCCGCACATTTCCAAATAATATTAATGAATGAATGAATATAAAACATAAAAATTGAATAGATGTATAAAAAAACATATATATATAGAATACAAATATAAATATATAAATGAAATATAATTAATAAACAACTGTTTGTTAAATATAGTTGATTTTATTGACAACGTAAACTTTTCGTTAACATTAAAATAAAATTAATAAAAAAAAATCACTTATGTATATAGTTGTATTTATTATAACAAATTAATTTTTAATAAAAATTTTTTTTTTGAATTAAATATCAGAGTTATTTAATTTTATTAATTTTTAAACAATTCTATCATGATTTAATTTAATTTGGTATTCGTATTTTATAAATTTGTATTTATTATGATTTTTGTTTTTCTTAAAGTAATTTCCAAAATATAAAACAAAATATTATTGATTTTACATGTTATTTCAAACTAATAAAATTTTTCATTTCTATAAAAATTATTTTTTTTTTTTTTTTAATTTTTAATTTTTTATTTTTAAATTTTTAATCTACTTGCTTGCATCCACTTATATTTGAGATTAAATACACAGCAGCTGTTGTCTTGCTGTAGTTGATGACTGTGCCAGCAGTAATTGAGGTAGGTCGCAGCGACGTTGAAACAGCGACGGCAGTATCGTCAGTATCAGCAGTGGTTTTTTTTTACTCCATACATTTTTACATAGTTTTTCACTTAGTTTAAATTTTTAAACTTAGTTTAAATTTGTATAAATTTTTGTTTATTATTAATTGTTAATTAATAAAAAAAATTTTAATTATTTTATATAAATTGTTTATTATTTCTCTTTAATAATTTTCTTTTATTATTATAACTAATAATGACACATCATTCAAAACAAAATTGTTATTTAGCAATTAGAAGTCAATCGTCATCATATGTGTTGTTTATTATTTCTCTTTAATAATTTTCTTTTATTATTATAACTAATAATAACACATCAATCAAAACAAAATTGTTATTGCAATTAGAAGTCACTCGTCATCATGTGTGCACAATTAATTTAATATAATTTATTAATAATTTATTATTATTAAAACATGTCGTCATCATGTGTACACAATTAATTTAATATAATTAATTAATAATTTATTATTATTAAAACATGTCGTCATCATGTGTGCACAATTAATTTAATATAATTAACCAAATTTATTATTATTAAAACATGTCACCATCACGCGTGCACAATCAATTTAATATAATTAATTAATTTATTAATAATAATTTTATTAAGTTTTAAAACATGTCACGGTCGCCATGTAGTAATTTAAAAACCGTGTTCTCTTTTTAGACTTGCTTTATTGATTGAAATATGTTTTTACAAAATTCATATTTGGAGGAGCAGTGTGCATTAGCATACTGTGAGAATTTGCTGAATTGGCGTCTTCACACGCCAGCCCAAACACTATCGTCAAACGGACGGTAGGGGCTCATATTGCAAGAATGCAATAAAGTTACAATAAATATCAGCATACTTATTTACTCACATAGTGTATGCTTATGCACGCTACAAAGCATTTTAAGGTAGCTGCCAATCAGCCAGCTATTAAGCGGTAAACAGAAATGTTGATTTTAAACATTTTAAAAATGGATGGAGTGAAACTACAAATTGTTTTACTTTTATTGGAAAAGAAAGATATTGTAACAAAAATAGTAGAAAAAAATAATAAGACAATGAAGATTTTAGGAATATTTCGCATAAAATTTACAAAATTACGAAAAAATGCGATTACGACGCTTTAATAAAATCGCGATACTTCCGACTTCCATTTCATAGCGAATTATTTAATAAATTGTGTCCTTTCTATATTTCCTGCCATCCAACAATTTTGCATTTTTTCTTCGCAAATACTTTATTTAAATACTTTCCTTCTCTTTCATCCGATTTTTTCTTTTTATCACCTTTTTTTTTCTCCAAATTTTTTGTTTGTTTTTGTCAACAGTGTTTTTTGTAATGAAATTCAAATATCTATTGACAGTTAACAGCTGAAAATTCAAACTAAACTGCTTTTAAGGCGTTGCTTAATGCTTAAAAGTTATGTTTCTTACTAAAAGTGATGCTAAACTGCTTTTAGTAAGTTAAAGTGTTTTTAAACAAAATTCAGTTTATAATGTTTACGAAACTTTTAAATCGATTTTAAGAGCCTTATAACCAGTGACGACTGCTCTAAGGTGCGGAGGTGTGCGGTGAACACCCTAATATAATTTGCAAAATGTTAAATAACATAGGTATATAAATTTATTAAGTATCTTTACATCAAGAATTATTATTATTTATTACATTTCCATATAAATATATATTTTTAAAGTTTTAGCAAAAACAATTAAATATAATTGTCTATGAAAACTCAATTAATTTGCTTCTGTTAGCCGCTATACTTGTTAGTTGTGCTCATATATTTGCAGCTCAAATCACAGAACATTTCTATTATATTTCGTCTCTCCCCTTTGTGTGCAAAGAAGTTGGACGCACATTCATACGTTACATATGAACAAAATAATGTGCGTGTGCTCCCGTTCGTAATATCAGAAATAGAGATTTATATAGTGGGAATTGTATGAGAGTAATTTCCTGTTCTATTCGAATATCAACTGTATGCATACGAATCCAACATTATGATTTGCCAAAGTGGCTGCATGAGCGGCTGAAGTTTGCAGCTCATCTCACCATACATTTCTATCACATTTCGTCTCTCCTTGTGCGCACATTGCAAGTGGTTTCGATTTTGTTTGATCACTGCACAAACATGTATGTTTCTAAGTACAAACTCATTTGTTTGAAAAAATTTGGTTTGATGTTACGAGAATTATGTGAAAAGTTTTGTTTCTTCCATATTGATATAATATTAAACTTGTATATAAATTATTAATTTAATTTGTTTAATATGTTATTTTGTTAATGAATTGTTAATATAATATTGCGCGAATATATTGTTGCCTTATATAATATAGTTATTATTAATAAAAGATCTCATATATTTTAATATAAGTGGTACATGTAAAAACAACATTAAAGAAGGGCCGCACACCCTTCCAGATAGGGCACGCGTCGTCACTGCTTATAACAATTTTAAAGTTCAAGTAAACGAAGTGATTCATAGATAATTGAACAAAACAATTCCTTAATGCAAATAATGATTTAATTTGGTATGAATTTTACTATTTTTTGTGCATTTTGAATTAATTTGAGAATAATAATTAGTATTATGTTGCGGCTAGTTGAGTCAGTGCACCTGAGCACTTTTACTCTCTATTAACTGCGAGGTTTCTTCAAAACCCCTCTTTGAACCTTGACTGGATTATTGTTTATCACTTCATCAGACTAAGCAATAATTGACCTCAGATCTGCATATCTCCCTGAGGAGCCTGTAACCATTCTGAGATTTGATAACGCGGTGTTAGTAAGTCTGTCAGATTTTGCAAATAATTTCAGGACTCTATCCTTTATGTATTTTTTGATGGGATCAATCTTGAGATCCCTGAGGATGTCATTCGTCCTAATGTACCAAGGAACTTTGAAAAGTCTTCTCAAAGCCTGGCTTTGTGCAATTTCTAACTGGTGAATAGTAGTGTTTGAAGCGTTGCTAAACGCTACACAACCATATAGAAGTGACGGACGAATTATTTGGTTATATATCAGTTTCCTGTTCTTAGCATTGAGGTTTTCATTTCTAAATAGCGGTTGGAGGTAATGAAGAATTTTGAAGCAGCTAATTCTTTTCAGTTGAACATGTTTAAGCCATGTGAATCGTTTGTCCAACGTGATGCCGAGATATTGAACGTTATCCTCCCAGTTTATCACCATATTACCCACTCTCACTCTTGACGGATTCTGTCTCCACTTACGCGTTATAAACAGAGTCTTAGTTCCTACTTTATTTTCTATTTCTGAAAATACTCCAGAATGAGATTTATATGCTCTTGAAGTGGGTTCGTAATGTTGAGAGCACATTTATCTGAGAATAGCATACACGTATCGTCAGCATATAACGCCAGAGTCGAGGGACCTAACATTGGAATATCAGATGTATAAATGTTGTAGAGAGTGGGAGAAAATGGCGATCTCTGAGGAACCCCTGCTTCTATAGATCGGACTGATAAGAGAGCGCTGTTGATTTTCGTGCGAAAGGACCTCTCACGTAGGAAGCTGCCAACGATCTTAGTTAGTCTGCCTGGAACACCTAGATCAGACATTTTAACTATCAGACCATCATGCCAAACCTTGTCAAAAGCTTTAGAAATATCAAAAATGATCATTCCAGTTGATTCTCTTCTACTAAGCGCTGTCTGGATCATTTGGGTCGTTCTAGCCAGTTAAAGCTCCGTGGACAGGTCATTCCTAAAGCCAAATTGTTCGTCAGGGAGTATATTGCGTGAAGCCACTACATCATTTAATCTGCCAAGAATTAATTTAATCTGAATTAGTGTTTCACCTAATTTGAAAAATGAAAATTGTTCAAATCAATATAATAAGTTAACTGTTTTTTTTATATTTTGACATTTCCGTTGTATAATTCTAATACAAATCATATGATATTATACCATGAACAATAATAATTTGTGATGGCAAGCCTGTTTAGAATCAGCATGAATCTAAAATGTCAAAAAATATTATTTGTTTTTTTATAATATTCAAAATATTAATTGAAATCAAATAGTTGTTCGTTCAGGACTCAATAGCTCTATACAGATATAGTTGTACAAGTAATATAAAATACTTTAAACTGAAAGCATAAAATATATGCAGATAATGTGCTATTCTGTAGCAGTGACAATATCGACTAAATAAACGGGAAACGTGATCTGTTATGTCTGCTGATAGCGAAAATCCTCAACAACCAAAGTTAGATGATCCAAAGTTTCGAATAAGACCAACACAGCAAGTTGTATCAGCATGCACCGGTGCTTTAATAACCGCATTGTTTAGTAAATATATCCACAAGATACGTAAGTTTTTTACTTCTAATATTCTTTTATGTAGTGACACCATTGGATGTTATAAAAACACGACTTCAAACACAGCAGTCTACGATGACAAACAAATGTTTTCTCTACTGTAATGGGTTAATGGATCATTTGTGCCCCTGTGATCCAAAGTCACTAAATGCGACAACTAAACCTCCAGAGCATTTAAATGGTACATTTGTAAGTTTCTATGTTCCTTTCATTAAAGCTAAAAAATAAATTGAAAATTTATATATATATCAGGATGCGTTCCTTAAAATAAGTCGAAGTGAAGGGGTAGCATCCCTTTGGTCGGGTTTAAGTCCCACTTTAATTTCTGCGTTACCATCAACAGTGATATATTTTGTAGCTTACGAGCAGATAAAAGTGCGGGCACTTGAAATTTATTATAAACATTTTGCTGCAGTGAAAGGTACGCACTACGGACGCGACATACCATTTTTTATTCCCCTCATGTCTGGTATGTCTGCAAGAATATGTGCTGTTACATTTGTTAGTCCTATTGAGTTGTTACGCACAAAAATGCAGTCACAAAAAATGACAACCGCAGAAATTGCAAGCGCTATAAATCACGTAATTAAACACCAAGGAATATTGGGCTTATGGCGTGGTCTACCTCCTACTATTTTAAGAGATGTGCCATTTTCTGGTATGTATTGGACGTGCTATGAAACTATCAAAAAATACTGCAATATAGTGGAACCTACATTCGGATTCAGTTTTATGGCGGGTGCGATATCAGGATCGGTAAGATGGTTATGTTTTTCTAATTTTAACTTACAAACACGACGTTATGCTTCTAGTTGGCTGCAACAGTAACAACACCTTTCGATGTAATAAAAACTCATGAGCAGATCGAGTTTGGAGATAAAGTGTTATTTAGTGGTATGCATTAATTAAAGCAAAAAATCTCTTACACAATAAAATAAATTTTGTATTTAAGATGAACCCAAAAATCAATATCGGCCGAAGACAGTAGTTCAACGTTTTGCAGCAATTTATCGAATGAGTGGTATACGAGGTCTCTTCGCTGGCTTAGGACCAAGATTGTTTAAGGTTGCACCAGCTTGCGCCATTATGATATCATCTTTTGAATACAGCAAAGCATTCTTTTACCAGTACAATGTAACGAAACACTCCGAGGAAATAGTAGTTGCCAGTCACAAAGTTTGACGCAGGCTTAATAATATTCCATATGAATAATTGATGTATAATCAACTGTTGTTATTAGGCGCATGTTGTGCTTTTAAAATTAGACTTATATTAAAATATATTTTATGACATTTGTGAAAGTTGTTTTTATATGTAAACTTGTACATATAATTATTTTATAAGCATTTACGCTTTGTTATGGTGAATATGATTTTATTGACTCTGAATAAATTTGGTTCAACTGCCTTAACATTAATAAATATGCCTTTGCTTAAAATGATATTCAAATAAAAACTTAGGATTCTTATTTCAGAGAGTTTTCTGTTTTGGTCTTTAACGTTTGGGATTAACAAAAGTAAAACTAAGTATATAACCCTTCAGCTTTACGTAAACACATCGGTTTTTCATAAATGAAACCAATAAACAAATATCACAGACTACTAAACGCAAAACAGGATTCATTATATATAATTGTATAAGAAAAATGTTGTCGTTATGTTTAGTTTGAGATATTTCATACAATTGTATTTCGCATTTTACGTATACATGTGTGCTATATACATAAATACATTTCCTTATATTGAAGTTTATATAATTCTTCTAAATATAATAAATAAATAAAATAAATATGTTACTCTAGTTAGGAAAGTAAACTAAACTTTTTACTCTAGCAAGAAACTGAAAACTCTACATAGGTTAAACTTTTCCTCTACTGAAAAACAAATCGCGCTTTTTGCGCATCAATTACAAATTATAAAAACTATAAATTATTTAAAAATGATTTTTTGTAACAAGACTTTGCGTACTAATTGACAGGAATGTTACTATAATAATACAACCATTACATCTTCTATTTACAAAATATTAACAAAATCATATATTAGATATATTAAATTAGCTTGTCCACAGTGAAATTTCTATTCCATCTGATATTTTTATCAATATCAATAACATTTCTCATCCATAACATTATAACCAAATCAAGAAATCAACATTCCAATTTAATTCGATGTAATTCAAGTGGTTATTAGTTATTCCTATGAAAAATAACACAATATAAAAAAATTTTTTAAAATAAATACTATATAAAATTTCATTTATTTTATTAATGTATTGTTTTAATTTTTTTAAATATAAATGTAATAAAACTATTACTTATAGTTTACTTATAACAACCGAATTTATTTTAAGCATACGTTGGTACATAATGAGACTTAAATGCAAATGAGACGCCATAATGAGACGCCTAATGTAAATGCAATCAGGTATGTTCATTGCGATCTATGTTCACCGTTTTTTTTTTGAAAGACCGATGAAACGTAATTCTTGACTTTAGCAAATTTTTTGCATTTGAGACACATTCTTGATTTAATAGTCGTCAATTACGGTTTATTGCATATTATTTGTGGCGATATATTTCTTGATTAAAGTTATAGGTTTGTGGTGTTTTCTTTTTTTAAGGAGCAAATTTTAAGTAACTTAAAGAAGAATTTTTAATTTTTGAACGATACAAACTTTTTGCAACTTTTACAATTGTAGTAAAATGTGAAATAAAACGCACAATATAATCAATGTCAATTTTTTTTTCTTTTTATAGTTTTAAATATCAAAATCAATATGTTTGGGTTCACTTCTGAAAATCAAAGACTTTGCTGGGCGTGTAAAGTAAACCCATGTGAAATGGACATTCACGTTCAACATAAACTGAATATGGCGGTGAAGCAATTGGTCAATACTGAAGAAATCAAGCAAGTTTGTCCTAAGAAGCTATGTCGTTCTTGTGCTTTGTTGAGCATCGAATCCGCTCATTTTAGTAGTTTTATAAAACATGCATACGACAACCTTGGAGATAATATGGAAATATTGTAAATGAATTGCTAACAAACAATATTCATTGACGTAACCATTAACTGACGGTTATTTTCTTTTTCTAACGTTTCTTTTTAAAACGTTTCTCTTTCTATACTCAATTCAATTAATCTGAATGCGCCTATGAATGTTATTATTTTTAAATCTTTTACAGATATTTTCTCTTTTAAATTCATATAAATGTTTCTTTAATAACTTTTTAAAAATGGTATTCGTTTCCATAACGTGTAAAAGATTTTAAATTTATTAATTAAAATTTAATAAATTTTTTCTAAATTCCCCAGCAGCATTAAAAACGATATTTTTTGTCACAACTGTTACTAATAGATATACAGGAAGTCCCGATAGCTCTGAGATGAATACAGAAAATAATAGTGAGGTGGGAAAGATTATACGTACTGACGATGGAAGAATTAAATGTAATTTTTGTGACAGTACATTTACCCAAATAAGCTCTTTTAAACAACATGTGATGAGCCACTCCGGACTGAAACCTTTCGTTTGTGAATATTGTAACAAAGGGTTTGGACGTCGTACTGTATTGAATAACCATATGCGCTTACACACTGGTCAAAAACCGTATCAATGCCATATGTGTGTCTTAGCGTTTACAACTAAAGACAGAATGGATGTAAGAATCAAGAACAATGTTAATTAATTAAATTCAATTAATTTAATTATTTTATACAGACGCATGTGAAACGTGATCATGTTGAGAATAAAAAAAGTTCGCGAACCTACTCGTGCAGAATTTGCAAACAGAAGTTTGATACTTATTATGACAAAACCCTTCATCAGCAAATGAAAGATTCACCCTGTTTTGAGAAAATTAAGTCCAAATACGTTAACGATAACCCAGACGGATTGAAAACTGCTGCTTCCGTATCATCTTTTATTTGCTTAACTTGTCATAAAAAGTTCTCGACATCAAAGGAATTATTAAATCATCAGAAAGGACATGACGCTCCAACGGTTGAATGTAAAGATTGTAAAATACTTTTCACCAGTGTAACTGAACTGTTATACCATGAAACAAAAGCACACAATCGGGTAGGCAACGCTAGCATAGAGGTGATCAATAATCAAATATTATCTGTTCATGAAATGACGCAACCTGCAGGCGAAAACAACAGCGAACTTCAATGCTGCAAGCGTCAAAAATTGGACAATACCGATGAAATAAACCCAGCTGCTATGTTTCTTGCGAATTGTAGGACTCGTGCTCGTAAAGAAAAGGGCTCAGATGAACACAAATGCCTAATATGTAAGGCTGTATTTACAGCAGGACCGTCATTAAAAATACATTTGCGTTCACACACTAACGAAAAACCATTTCATTGCAAATATTGTTTCAAGCAATTCAGTCGGAATAGTGTTCTTAAAGTGCATCTAAAACGACACACAAAAATAAAAGCGCATAAATGTTCTCAATGCGATATGGCTTTCGATTTTAAGCACACATTAGAAGTAAGTCAATTAAAGGGACGTGGATATACTCGTATTTATAATATTATTATTATTATTATTATTATTATTATTATTATTATTATTATTATTATTATTATTATTATTATTATTATTATTATTTTACTTTTAGACACATATCGAGCGTTCCCATAAACATACCAACGTGATTGAGCTTGTACTCTATTGCTCTCATTGTCCGGAAGTGTTTTCCGATGATTTCCAATTGCAGGAACATATGTCAGTAGAACATGAAAGCATCAATGTTAATTATAAATGTGAAGTTTGTGAAAATGAGTTCGATGACTTCATGAAATATAAGAACCATGTGGTGACACATAATTTACAAGAGCATATCTCAGCAGAACATGGAACCTCCAATGATTCAAATGATTTACAATCTGCTGAATATCTCTCAGAGGAAAACGAAAGCTCTATTGAATCACAATCTGACATCGGTACGATGTCAAATGTGGAAGAAGTTATAGATGAAAATCATTTGAAGGATCGAAATGTGAAAAAAAGTTGCAAAACTTGTAAAAGTTTGCGTAACAAAAAGTAAATATAGTATATAATAACATTATATTAATTAAAAGTTTGAAAGTTCCTTTTTTCTAATATTTCAGAACCGAACTTCACATACACATTAAAAAAAAGCATGTGTGTACTGCTAACAAAAGTTTCAGATGCCATTTCTGTAATGAATTGTTTTACGACGTTATTTTATTCGATGAACACTTGGCTAATGTTCATGATGACAAAACATATGAGAACCAGTGTCCTGAGTGTTCTAAATTATTCAAGAATAACTTTTCATATAGGAGACATATATATAAAGTACACGATGCAGTCCGTTTAATCTGCTGCGAGCGCAACTGTGGGAAAGTTTTTGAATCTCTCAAGGCTTTTGATATACATGTTGTTAACCATTTCTTATAAATTTAATACGCATCATTAGTGCATAAGCATACGAAACATATCACTTTCATATTCACTTTCATATGAACGTTTTTCATTCTCAAAAATCCTTTAAAATACGTGTGAACCATTTTCATAAATAACTTTCATATACACTTTACTAATGCTGCATATTTCTGTTAGTTCACAAGTTACAATATTACTTTCATAAACACTGCTTATGCTGCATATTTCTGTTAGTTAGTAAGTTACAATGTTTATGACAAATAGTAAATTTTATAATTATATAATGTGTATTGTGAGCTCTTTCAGCTGAATATATACTGCAAATAATTATATATGCACTAGTAATATAAATAAACAATATATTTGTTTTTAATATGGAAAATGTTATTGTTTGTTTTCAATTGTAGTACCTAAGTGCAAGTTACAAGCTCTCAGCTAGCACTTTGGCTGTAGTTTATTTCAATATAGATATTTTAGTAATTTTATAAATATCTCTTAATGATTACACATTTTAACATATTTTTAAAGCTTTTTTATATTTATTTTATTAAACTTGCTATCAGTTTTGATGTTACAAGCAATAAGCAATTTATTTACTTAAATTTAAGTTCTGACATTTGTTACTGATTTGTTATACTGTAGCAGGCCTTTTGTGCCCGGGAAATGAGAATCGTGATGAATTTGAAAAAATATGTTTAGAAAATTTGAAGTAATCATAGATTCTACCAGTTCTAGTAAATTGATCTAATATATAAATTTCAAATCCAACAATTAATCTAGTGCTATTAATGCACTTCGATATAGCAGCGAAGCATTTGGTACTCATAGCATGAAGCCCATATTTTTACGTTGTCATCTCATTAGATATGCCAAGCCTTCATAGCCTTTTAAATGTATTTTAAAACAGTACGTTCAGTGCATGTTATATGCATAAATTTGCCATCAAAAACTGTTACATCTAGTACTCTAGAGTTGTCTGTCAAACATGTAAATAAACCACACGTGCAAAATAATATCAAATTAGTTTTCATTCTCTTCTACAAAAAAAGGTTGGGCTGACTTTTGTTTTAATATGCCTAAAAGAAAGAAAGAAGTGAAAATCTTAGCCGATAAAGAAGCAACTAAAACTGTTCCACAGCTTAAAAATAAAAAAAACGCTGGAAAAAAATCAAGTGAAATACCCCGCGGAATGCCGAAATCTGGTAGACCATGGAAGACCCCAAAAACGAAGTATATTTTGTGTAAACATTTAATTGTTTTATATTAAGAAATTATTTTTTAGATTTACTAGCATTAAAAAGACTGTTAATCGTAATTCATTTGAAAAGAAATTAGAGCTCAGAAATCAACTGCGACATATAAAAGAAATGTCAAAAGAGATAAAGGAACAACGCAAAGAAGCTGCCGTAGAGAAACATAAAAGGCGTCAGGAAAATGCTGAAAGACGCTTGGCAAATGAACGTCGTTCTGAAGTTGTACAGATAATCAAAAATCCATCCAAATTGAAACGTCTGAGGAAAAAACAAATGCGTCAGATCGAAAAACGCGATATCAGTCAAGTAAAAGTAGCTTAAAGCCCCGTATCTATGTCACTTTTAGTTAATTTTAAAAATAGTAACTAGTTTATAACTCTAAAATTATATGCACATACTATTATTATTAATAAATAAAAATAAAATATGTACATACATATAATATCAGATGCAAACCTACTTTCTTATATTATTTGAAATAAACAAAAGTTAAATATTAAATTATATTTATGAACAAGTTTGCTATGAAATTCACTTTAAATGGTTTTAATTAATATTAATATTTCAATAACATAAAATATCAAATATTTTTATACAAAAATTAATATTTCTGTATATATTCTTTAAGGCATTTCAAGTAAATAAAATATGCATACGTTATCATCTTAATTATAGTCAAATTAAACACAAATCATGAAAATTAATATAAGGGATTTCGAAACTCGTACCTATTCAGTTGAAATTGAGCCAGTTGATTCAATTTTGATGCTTAAAGAAAAAATATTTGAAGTACTTGGTCATGAGTATCCTGTCCGTCAAACGCTCATTTATGATGGGAAAATTATGAGCGATCAACATATTGTAAAGGATTACAATATAAGTAAGGATAAGTACGTTTTAGTGCTTCTCAATGACGAAATAACAGCTTCTATATTAAAGCCCTCATCATCATCATCATCGTCAATAGGTATATTATTTTCAGAAATACTTTTTTAACGTATGTTAAAGTTTTTAAATTGCATAGATGAAAATTCTGACTAAACGTGCCAAGAACTAAATAGATCAGCGAATTGAAGCATAACTAACTGAATAGGTCTGCATTTAGTTCGAGCTTTCTTTAGAACATTTAATCCAAATGCCGGTGGAATTTATTTATTTATATTTTATTTCTTTTTATTAATGCAGCCATTGCATTTTTATTAATGTTTATAATAAACATATTATTGTATAAAAGAATAAACAAATATAGCCTTTTTATTTTAATTTCAGAAACTATTTTGAAGTAATATTATTACATTGTAAATCCTTGTTCTAATGGACTAAGCGTCTATCTGCATATTTACTTTTCTCTCTCATGTGTTACAAGTTACACTCATGATCGTCTAACTTTTGAAAGGTTCTGCAAACCTTGTTCATATGTATTATTTGACAAAATCTACTTTAAGATCCTTCTGTTATCTGTTATTGTGCTATATTAATATTCGATGTTTTAAGATACGACTATATATATATATTTAAATTATTTTATTACTTTACTCTCTCTCTTTCTCTTGACATAATAAATTCCGCGGTAACAGTTGTTACTGCATGTGGAAGGCGTTTTCTATCTTAAGAGGCTTCAGGCTAAGCTATGTTAAGAATTTTGTTGCAATACCGACGTACTTTGCTACACTGGCGAAGGAGGTTATTTCCGTTTACTGATATTTGCTCCGTTGCAATAGATATTGAAGAAAAGATCATGATTCGAAAAAAAAATCGATGGTGCTATTATAATCTGTGTTGATTAATTTGATTTGATTTCTTATTTCACTTGACATATTTTCAAAACTTTGTTTTATATAAATTAGTTTTATAAAAATATTAATCTCTAAAAAATACCATTTCTGACACTCCAATATTAACTTTACGAAAAATAAACTTGAAAAAGAAGACAAAGAATTTTTTTAATAATATTTATTTGATTCACTACGTTTGATTGAAGCCCATATTTTTACGTTGTCATCTCATTAGATATGCCAAGCCTTCATAGCCTTTTAAATGTATTTTAAAACAGTACGTTCAGTGCATGTTATATGCATAAATTTGCCATCAAAAACTGTTACATCTAGTACTCTAGAGTTGTCTGTCAAACATGTAAATAAACCACACGTGCAAAATAATATCAAATTAGTTTTCATTCTCTTCTACAAAAAAAGGTTGGGCTGACTTTTGTTTTAATATGCCTAAAAGTAAGAAAGAAGTGAAAATGTTAGCCGATAAAGAAGCAACTAAAACTGTTCCACAGCTTAAAAATAAAAAAAACGCTGGAAAAAAATCAAGTGAAATACCCCGCGGAATGCCGAAATCTGGTAGACCATGGAAGACCCCAAAAACGAAGTATATTTTGTGTAAACATTTAATTGTTTTATATTAAGAAATTATTTTTTAGATTTACTAGCATTAAAAAGACTGTTAATCGTAATTCATTTGAAAAGAAATTAGAGCTCAGAAATCAACTGCGACATATAAAAGAAATGTCAAAAGAGATAAAGGAACAACGCAAAGAAGCTGCCGTAGAGAAACATAAAAGGCGTCAGGAAAATGCTGAAAGACGCTTGGCAAATGAACGTCGTTCTGAAGTTGTACAGATAATCAAAAATCCATCCAAATTGAAACGTCTGAGAAAAAAACAAATGCGTCAAATCGAAAAACGCGATATCAGTCAAGTAAAAGTAGTGTAAAGCCAGATACGGGGCTTTTCACTTTTAGTTAATTTTAAAAATAGTAATTAGTTTGTAACTCTAAAATTATATGCACATACTATTATTATTAATAAATAAAAATAAAATATGTACATACATATAATATCAGATGGAAGCCTACTTTCTTATATTATTTGAAATAAACAAAAGTTAAATATTAAATTATATTTATGAACAAGTTTGCTATGAAATTCACTTTAAATGGTTTTAATTAATATTAATATTTCAATAACATAAAATGTAAAATATTTTTATACAAAAATTAATATTTCTGTATATATTCTTTAAGGCATTTCAAGTAAATAAAATCTTAATTATAGTCAAATTAAACACAAATCATGAAAGTTAATATAAGGGATTTCGAAACTCGTACTTATTCAGTAGAAATTGAGCCAGTTGATTCAATTTTGATGCTTAAAGAAAAAATATTTGAAGTACTTGGTCATGAGTATCCTGTCCGTCAAACGCTCATTTATGATGGGAAAATTATGAGCGATCAACATATTGTAAAGGATTACAATATAAGTAAGGACAAGTACGTTTTAGTGCTTCTCAATGACGAAATACCTGCTTCTATATTAAAACCCTCATCATCATCATCATCGTCAATAGGTATATTATTTTCAAAAATACTTTTTTAACGTATGTTACAGTTTTTAAATTGCATAGATGAAAATTCTGACTAAACGTGCCAAGAACTAAATAGATCAGCGAATTGAAGCATAACTAACTGAATAGGTCTGCATTTAGTTCGAGCCTTCTTTAGAACATTTAATCCAAATGCCGGTGGAATTTATTTATTTATATTTTATTTCTTTTTATTAATGCAGCCATTGCATTTTTATTAATGTTTATAATAAACATATTATTGTATAAAAGAATAAACAAATATAGCTTTTTTATTTTAATTTCAGAAACTATTTTGAAGTAATATTATTACATTGTAAATCCTTGTTCTAATGGACTAAGCGTCTATCTGCATATTTACTTTTCTCTCTCATGTATTACAAGTTACACTCATGATTGTCTAACTTTTGAAAGGTTCTGCAAACCTTGTCATATGTATTATTTTACAAAATCTACTTTAAGATCCTTCTGTTATCTGTTATTGTGCTATATTAATATTCGATGTTTTAAGAGACGACTATATATATATATTTAAATTATATTTTATTACTTTACTCTCTCTCTCTCTTGACATAATAAATTCCGCGGTAACAGTTGTTACTGCATGTGGAAGGCGTTTTCTATCTTAAGAGGCTTCAGGCTAAGCTATGTTAAGAATTTTGTTGCAATACCGACGTACTTTGCTACACTGGCGAAGGAGGTTATTTCCGTTTACTGATATTTGCTCCGTTGCTATAGATATTGAAGAAAAGATCATGATTCGAAAAAAGAATCGATGATGCTATTATAATCTGTGTTGATTAATTTGATTTGATTTCTTATTTCACTTGACATATTTTCAAAACTTTGTTTTATATAAATTAGTTTTATAAAAATATTAATCTCTAAAAAATACCATTTCTGACACTCCAATATTAACTTTACGAAAAGTAAACTTGAAAAAGAAGACAAAGAATTTTTTTAATAATATTTATTTGATTCACTACGTTTGATTGATTTATAATAAATAAGCTTCAAAATGTTAATATAGTTCAAGAGATATTCTTAAAACGAACACATCGATGCGGTGTAATTGAGATTTGCGTTGTGTTTTTTTAATACTTATATCAAATATACTTTTTTTTAAACATATTACATGTTTCATTAAAAATTGTATAAATATTTATTTTTTTTTTATTTCAATACTCTTATAAAATCGCAACCTTAGTTGTAAGAAAAGCTTCTTAATTTTTAGTGTATTTTAGACTACAAAGCAACATTCAAAGCGTTTAACGTACACATAATAGATAATAAATATTAAAGAAAAATAAAACACATTTTCGAATATTTTAATAATAAAGTAAATAAAAATTTGTATTTTAAATAAAAATTTTGGTTTTCCTACTCAATTTGGAGTTACATTTGTAAAACAAATATGCTTAAAAAATTCTTAAACAATTATTTAAAGAAAAAAAACTAAAATGATGATCAAAGTTACAGTAAAAGTTAAAACGAATTTAAATATTAATTTTTATTTTAAAATAGAAATATATAAGCTTTTTGATATTTTTTAACTTATAAGAATTTAATTAAATTTAAGGGTTATAATTTTAGATAGAAATTTTATTTATTTTAAGTGTTGCAGTTGCGGTTCTTGCAGTTTAGTTTATTGTCTATTTGTGTGTAATTGGAATCATTGTTTCACCCGCAGTTAGTGCTGGTAATGGAGCATCCACAGTCAATACACCGTCCTTGCTTAATGATGAACGAATAGATTCGGGATTTACTCCTTTGGGCAATAAGAACTCACGATTATATTCCCTGTAAACACTCTTTGTGTCCGATTTTTCTTCATGTTTTGCATGCACCTTAAAATAAAAATAGATTAAAGATATATATTTTTAATGAATTTATATAAAATTTTAGATTATTAATTTATCTCCATATTTTTCTTTGTGCTCAAAACTCTAGTATATAACCATATCATAGTCACAAAACCGTGTCATCAATATATTGTTTGATGACAATATCTGGACCAGTGGTGGCTAGCCACTGGAAATTAGCACCGTAAATATACTTAGCCCGACCACTCTCTAAAAATTAATTGCATATCTTATTTATTCAAGCATTTTAGAATAGTTAAGGTAAAATTAATAAACCTAAACATACTGGTGAAACAATACTTATACTACTAGGTATAAAAAAAGATATAATACCCAAAATAGACTGATTCTCCACAGAGTTGAAGATTTGTAAAGTAAGCAAGTAATGGCTTATTTGATTGTTGATTTACGAGCGGTGTTATAACTGGGTCACTGAGATATTTACTAGATTACTGGAGAAAACACATACGTATTCCGACTGATTCTTACAATAGTCGGGATTTGCTAAATTACCGGCTCTGGTTGGATTTCTATCTTTCTATCCATTTATATAAAAATGCAATATTTTATAAATGATGTATTTTTTTTCTTTAAATACATAATTAACTTTATTCACCTGTGTGGAGGAAACAGTGTAACAAAATTATTTATTATAGTTTTTAAAATACGTCAGAGACATAAAATATAATTATATTGTATACATATATATACAATATCTCATACATTTATTCATGTGTTCTCGAAGAAAAATTTTCATCTGCTGACACAAAAAACAAAAAATTTGTTGGCAATTGTACAAAAAGTTTCTGTTAATATTTTTCTATTTTCCAATTTGTAATGAATTTTTGCGAAGAAATTATGTACGTAAAAATAAACAATTTCACATCCATATGCCATAGATACAAACTCAAAGTAGAAATTTCATTAATATACTATATAAATCAATTTGCAAGCGCTGCCAAATAATATCAGCAAATTCAGAGATCTCATCGAAAAAATATTTTTTTGTTTAGTTTTCTCAAAGTAGAGTTGAGTCATTTCTAAAATAAATAGAAGAAAATACCAGAACCGAAATGGATTATCTTCAGTCTTACGAACGAACAAGGCATCATTAATATTCGCTAAATTATAGCAATGTATGTGATAATATCTACTCTTCTACAGAATATCTACAGAATGTTGATGTATATATGATAACTTTTGGAATGTTTGGATAATCTATAAGATACAACTGTCACTGTTAACTTAAGTGGAAGATTACTTTACATTTAAAATTCATATTCCGCAACTGAAACAACAGTTCTCTATAAACTGAGTAAATTTTTTTTAATGTTTGTATGGAGATTACTTACCAATAATTTTTGATCAACAGTTTTCACAACAATTTCTTCGGGGGCGTATTGGCTGACATCGAAACGTAACTTTAATACTTTGTTGTCTCCATCCTCCTACAAAAACAATAAATGCGATAAATATATATAAGTAATAAAGAAACATATTGTATTTTCATATATGTAAATGACTAATTTTTTTAATTTAAATTTTTTATGCAAATGTCTAGTTAAGGATCTTCTACAATAATCTATTTTACGTCATAAGCAAACTTTTGATGGGTGATTTAATTGAAAGATATTTAAACGTGAGTTTAAAAGAATAATTGCTCGGAATGTTGATGACTTAACTTGAACGACAATGAATGACACAATTGTGTCTTTGCTATTATTTAAAACTATTATCAACTATTTTGTAAAGAGTAGTGATGGTTAGTTTTGTTGTAGTCCAGATAGTTGACACTTGACCCTTCAAAGTTACAATGGAATGTGAGAAAAGAATAGAAGTAAGAAGAAGGGTTCTGTGAGATGGAAAAAGAATGAGTACGGGGCAGGGAGCTAATTAAAACTAGTCTTAGTCAAGGGTTAGGAGGCATATGAATCAATGGAACAGATTCATAAATCAGTAGGGCTAAAATTTGTATATGCATTTGGACATAAAAAAAGATAAGCGATGTGATGTGAAGTAGACCTGCCGTTAAGGTATACATTGGAAAATTAATGTATGTGGCTATACCCTGAGATTACGTTTGTTAGGACAATTTTTGCAGCACGAGCAGGTCATCTTACAAGCATAGTTATTTCACCCGGGGGCCTATTAAGAAGTTTACTGTAATGAAAACAAAGAGCAAATACTCTTCTCATTGGCAGTCCAATAAGCTCTTCTTTAAAACTTCAGATCCGGTCACTTTTGAAACCCTTTTATAGCTAAGCTTACTTGTGATCCTTCTTTACAGTGATTCATGATAATCTAGCTTACTTTAATTCTACTTACCTGAATTAGAGGCGAGCTTATATCCGCAGCGTAATTTTGTTTAGGACGAGCAGAGGCCAAAGCTGAAGAATTTGTTGATGCGCTATTCAAATGAAACAATAGATTAAAATTAAAAAATAATTCAATAAACATATACAAAAAATAAATAATAAAATATATTAAATCATCGCTGTGAGATGAAAAACATAGAAATTGAAAACGTTTACAACAAATTTGTCTAGATCATAGCAGTAAATTAAAATAAATTAAGAATTAAATAGGAATTAGTATAATGTGTACCTGGTGGTTGTGGTTTGAGAAGTTTGAGTCTTAGAATGTGTTTGAAAGAAATTAGTAATGGAATACATCTTCTTATTTTAAAATTATGTTATGTATAATGTATATTAACTGCTTTGATGTTTTGTTATAAACGTAATAGGAATAAGAAAAACCGAACGAATAATACTGGCCGCTTTTAAAAGTAAGACTGAGCCTTACTGACAAGGTACACCACTATTTATAGCTAGTTTTCCAAAAAGAAACTTAAATAATTATAGTTCCAGACACAATTGTCTTTCAGTGCAGCTGTTTAGAATTGAGCCAACCCTTGAACTCCAACATCCGTTTTCGAAATATTTACATATTGGAGCATTTTGTGGTTTAAAAATAGTTTTTGAAATGAATAAAAACGCAGATAATAGTCGCAGCTCTGCAGAAAAGATAAATTGAAGAAGTACGAAGAACATGATGCTAAATTTAGGTTTTAAAATTTGGGATCAAGAGGCAGCTGCGCTTATGTCTATCAACGCTAAATTTAGAAATTTATGTCGAATGTAAGCATCTCACATACTCTCACATAAAAATAGAAGAAAGCAATTATTTAAACAATCTTCTGGTTTGTTTGCACTACGCTAAGAAAAACATTTAATATATATATACCTATATATATTCGATGTATCTTTTTTTTACGCTTCGTTTATAGCAAAACAATTGTCATTTCTACAAATAAACCTTTTAGAAAATATGAATATGTAAATAATTGAATTCATTTTGATTTTAATTTTAAAAAATAATTAAAATCTAGTCTTCATTTATTTTAAAGAAAATTATTTGTTAGGTGGACTAGAGAAAATAATATTTAATAAAGGTAACATATTATTGCAATTGAGAACAACTTGCAATATACTTATAGACTTATTTTAAAAATAAATTGAATTTGAAAATATAATAAGAAATTCTTAACAACATCAAATTGAGTACTTGTATTAGATATGAAAAGTATCCACTTTTAGGTTATACCGGCGATCTCTAGTGGATCCATTTACGCCTATTGGCCCATTGTGTTATACACTTTTTGTTTTATTGAAATAGAATTCGAAACTTTATTAATAAGTTCACAATTTGTTCTAAAAATAAAAAAAAATTCCATATAAACCTCACAATAACTGAACTGCTAATTAACTGCTTTAAAAAATGGTAGAAAAAAAATTAAATACGGTAAAGTGCCGGCTAACAACACCAAAAAATCTGAAGAATGATTTTACCAAATTATTTTTAGAAAAGTTTTTTTTTTACAAACTCCTTTCATATTAAATAATATTTTAAAAATTATCATCGAGATGAAAATTTGAAAAAGTGCTAGCTAGCAGCAATAAAAATACGGAATATATATAACATTAGGGTGCCATTAATTTTCGAAAGTCGGAAAATTGCCCGCGGCACCAGATCGGTTCATTTTACTAAAAAAATAATCTGTGTAAAATTTTAGTTCAATTGGATAAGTGGAAATGGTGCCCCAAGAGCCTCAAAGATTGAAAAATAACGATTTTTTCCATAAAATTCATCTTTGATTGCTTATATCTCCGACATATTTAATTTTACATAAAAACTGACTGACAGATGCTAAAATATTAAGCTAAAATCTTCGGTAGACTGAAAAATATACTTAAAGAGGTCATATACATAACTTTATTTTTATTACTATTTTACTCTCAGTTCTATACATTTTTTTTCTATTAAATATGAGTTTTTTATGATATAACCATTTGTTAGTTGAAACAGAACTACACAATAATTAATTGAATGTGCCTTTACCAAAGTTTTTATAAATCTGTAATTATGATAAATACGTCTAAAATGGTTTTTTATATAAGAAAATAAAATTAAAAATAAATTAACTGCACAAATTCTCTTCAATTGTGCTAAAACCAAAATATTTTAAAAATAATTAAATGCAAAAAAATGTTTTTGTAGTCTTCAGTACTGCCGTTAAACCATGCCTATCAGCTATGGGGGCGTATGAGCAACAATTTACGGTTTGTCTTAAGCTAAATGTGCCATAAAATAAAATAAATTCTCAATTTTGAAACTTTTTACATAAATAAAAATGTATAAAATTTATTTGTGAGTTTTAAAATGAAACGAAATGTCATTTGGCAAAGTAGTTGTTATTGTGCAAGGATGGACAAAATGGTTAGGAATGCCATGCGACAGGGTATTAGGTTCCCAGTGGAATGCAGTACTATAACCTCAACTCCACCTCAACAGCAAAAATTTGATCTTGCAAATGAGGTCAAATATATATTATATATAGCTATTCCTAATATCATAAAGAAGACCGAAGCTTTCGCCGCAGTGTTTTATTCTTGGCCCAAATCAGAGTTGAACTGGGAAAAAGAATGTGACTAATAATAGAAAGTATGAAATAGATTATATACTTTCATACACTTAATGGGTTTTTTCTCAAAAACTGCGCGTGTTTTAAGAGGATCTAAAAAAGAAAGATATATGTAAATAACTATAGAAATATTTTTTTGACACATTTCATAATTGCTTATTGAAACAAATGAAAAAACAATAAATATATACGCAAGTACACTGCACATGTAAGTAATTGACAGCTGCCAAAATTTTAAAACTAAATTTTTTTTTTATAATAGAATAGAAAAGAGATAGTATTATTAGCAAATAAAAAAAAAGAAAGAAAGATCTAATCATTTAAAAAATACGTGTATATTTTTAAGTGTGGTAAACTCAGTGTTCAATAGTTGAGTGCTTTTCATAAAAAATGCTAATGATATATTAAATATTTTATGAAATATTTATTAATTTTGTGTATTTAGTCACATATATTGTCGAGGCATGCAACACAACATCTTGACTATAAGAGCATAGGATTTTAGTACCTGCTGCTGGTTGTTGTTGTAGTCTTTTTAGTAGAGCTATTTTAGAAATCAATCAAACCAAAGAAGAAACCAATGTTACCAAAAAAAAAGCATTAACAAAATTATTAAAAAATTTTATTTTAATTTATTAGTTTAATTTTTTTTGTTTATTTTTTTTTTTTTTTGCAGATCCGTTAAAAAAGTAGCATGGAAATAAGAAGAAAGAGCATTAATTTAATAATTTTGTATTTTTCATTTATAGTATTATTATACAGAAATATATAAAACATTATACTAACATTTTTATACTTTTTATAATTTTTTTTTTTGATTTTCATAATATAATCATTCACTTATATCAAAATTAATATTAATTTATTGCATATGTTATACATATATTGTATATTTATGTTTCAATTAATATAGTGACAATAATTTTGTTTTATTTGTTATATATTTATGTATAAAATACAGTAATATAAAAAACTTATATATAAAAAGGATGCCGACATAAAAAAACGCATTCTAGTTAGGACAGACTTCCTACTTTACAGTTTTAAAAACCACGTTAAGATCAGAAAAGTCATTTACAAATAAGTAATTTGAAGCATTTCATATTTTTTATACAGGATGGGGGTGATACCCCCTTTTAATATTTACTAGCATGATACAGTTGGTCAAATAAAAGTCTAGCAAAGACACACTTTAATCTTAAGTGTCAGTTCGCAGTTAAAGGTTTCTATTCTAATATTTTTTTTTGACTTTATTCTAGAACTCAAATCCCTACATTCTACACACGAGCCAAGCCTATTTAATTGGAACATTTGGTCAAATAAAACTCTAGCAAACACCACAGAGTACCTCTTGTATACACTATAATCTTTAATGCCAGTTGGCAGTTAAAGGTTTCTTTGCTAATAATTTTTTTTTGACTTTATTCTAGAACTCAAATTCCTACATTCTATACACGAACCAAGCCTATTTAATAATTTCCGTGAATGAGTACAGATCAAAACTTAAGTACAACCTTACGTTTAAGTTGTAGTTAATCTAGTATTATGATTGGATTTTTATAATAAATGATATTATAACATATGTATACCTATGTATGTACGTAATACAACTACGTATGGAAACAATCTTAGGAGATTTTTGCCAAATTTTTTGTTGTATTTCACATGTCATATTTTCGCAAATTCTGTTAATCGTCCTAAATATATTTTAAATTTTTACGAGAAATTAACGGTTCAAAAAAAAAAAACTATAAAGAAACGGAATGTATTCGACAAGTTAATAACAAGCCATAAAAAATTGAATGACACAAATAAGAAGAAAAAATAAGAATGTCTGAAATACAAAATTGTGATATTTAGCAATTTTAGTTGAAATAATTTTTACTGAATTTTAAATGAATTTAGTCATAGCGAGCTTATATATATCTCAATATATACCTTAAGGTAACTTTACAATAAAAAAATATGTTAGCAACCAAAAATACACAAATGCGTGTATACAGAATTATAACAGCAAGAAACAATTAAGCAAACAGAATAAAGCGGAAGACATAGCCGATTTAACATAACAGATTGTATATTAAACAAAATATGGAAATATTTTATTCTAGCTTTTTCAATAAACTTGTATTTTGTAATACAAAGAATATTTGGTACAGGTATTGTTTATATTTATAAACATGTTACAAACATAATTAGAAACTAATGTGAACTGAATTAACCAGCAAATATGGTTAAATTATTAAGTTTCTCAATAAATGCATGCAAATAGCTGACAAAAAAAAACTAACCGACAATTAGGTACAAAGATAACTACATGGAGTTAGTTTGAAGCGGTGACCTTGTGCCCAAAGCCCACTTGAGCTCAAATAATGGCCTGTTGTGACTCCATGGAATGGAAGGGTAACATTAATTAGTTGACTGAATCTAATTTCGTATATAAATACGTGGAAGGAAGTGAATATCTCATAACTATTACGATGCTGCTATCAATGTTACTACTTGTCTTAATGCCAACTTAGAGATATACATACATATATACTGAGAAATTAATAAATTGGGAGTTAAATTGGGAGTAGTAGGTATATATTTATTATTGGCTCTAACTAAATGCCATGATATTAAATGTGTTATAGTGTCTTTATATTTGACAATATTGGACATTATCTGCAAAAGTCATGAAATGTGAACGACCAAGCCAAGAGATGCGTGGAATACTATAGCACAATATGACTGTGAAACCGGCTAGGCTATTTGTTAGAAGTATACTGGTGTCAACATAATCTGAGGTTGGTGAATATAGTGGCGAGATTCTATTTCAATAAATTTCTTGAAATATACTTTATTTGCGTCACATTATCTTGTGTGCCATGCTAAACTGCACCAACCGCAAATGCATTACTTGCCTCTATGTAAACTTTAACTGCTGTTAACGTATTTTTATGTGCATGACTGACCTTTATTGAATAACAGAGAATATTTTTTATACGTAGTTAATGTGTTTTTTGTTTGAGCACTTTGTGTCTGTGTGTGTGTGTGTAGCAATTCGGTATTTGCGCTTGTACACATAAATAAATATATATTATTCCCTTTCTTTAAGTTTGGCTCGCTCTCTCTCGTACGGTACTCTTCATGATTTCCTCACATTACAGCGTGAAATGCTGTTGCTGTTTTTTGGGTTTTGTCTCTCTTCGATGATGTCATCGCGCTTTGGTTAAAAATATCAACAGAATTTCACTACTTGTTTATCTGTATTAAGCATATTTATGTAAGTAAGTATGTGATGCGACATATACACTACAGTGCTATATTGTAAACTTGCTTATAAGCACTGGAAGGCTGGCTATGTTATTAATATTTGCCGAAGATATGTTGGCAGTAAATGACAGAATGAAGAATAACAGTGTTTGTTTATAAATATGTTATCTCACTTAACGGTTACAATTATAAATATTTCTGATCTTTTTTCATTCTATAGTTCACTGAAAATTGCGTCACAATTTTTGTGATTATTGATTATTAAACTTTTATTGGATTTTGTTTACTTAAGCCATTACAAAACTTCGAAGTTATCTATTTTAATTGAGGAAATAGAATATAAGAAGTTGATGAGATCACATGCGCAGTAAACCATCGAATATGAAAAATCTTTTTCCATTTCGACAGATTTTATCTTAAGCCAAAATATGTATATAAATCGACCTAAAATAACAACTTAAATATACTATTAATTAAAGCAGTCAAAGGCTGAATTTAAGCAAATAATCTTTTATTATTTTTTGTTTATTATTAATAATAAAGCAAAACTTTTTTTTTCTACTTTTTTGGTGTTAATAGTAAAAATGCTTCAGTGAGATATTAAATTCTATATCTGGTATAAAAATATTCTTTGATATCGCAGAGTTTATAATTCTAGCCGTAATCATTACTGTTGGGATTTATGTAGAATACATAAGCCGTGTGCGAGTTCGAGTAAATTGAGGTAAAGTAAATTAAAATTTCTTAGGGATTTTTTGCACTGCATTTATGTAAATATATATTTATTTATTTATTGCAATTATTTATTATATTTGGTTAAAAGTTTACAAATCTATTTATTTATTTATTAAATTTACCCTACTCGAAATTCTGGTAAATACTAACATTCGCTGCCATACCGACAAAATTTACTATTTCCCTCAATTTACCATTAATTTACTCAAACTCGCACACGGCCATAATAATCATTTACTTAAAAAAGGTATTATTTTCCAATGCAAGGACGTTCAGTTATATTATATATATGGCGGTATAAGACCTCATGACGCCCAGGGACGAATAAAAATCGAATCTATAACGTTATAATTGCTTTTCCTAAGCTATAATATACATATATATACATACATACTTTTCTAAGTGTATTAACACTTTTTTAAGCATTTATATATACAATTGGGACAATTTTAAGTTGTTCTGTTGGGAAAAGTTTTAATCTGTATCATACCGACGAAATATTTATGGGTGATTAGCTTAAAAAAAACTATTAAACTATTAACTATTAGAACCATTAAAGCAAACATGTAAAATGTTTTTTATATTCAATTAAAAAATTTTTAATTTTTAAATAAATTTTTAAATCTTTTTAAAATCATATTAAATATTTTCTAGTGTTGTATTGAATTTTAATTAAATATTTACTCATTGAAAGAAATAGCGCATGTTCGATTTTTATAGTTTTCACTGACTTTTTTAAAAATTAATTATTTCAATGATCTCATCCGGAGGTTTAAAAAGTAATTTTACTTTTTTATTCAATAGAAATTCAAACTGTTTGGGTAATAGAAAAAATCAATACAAATTAAATGAACAAATATTTAGAATCAGTATATGTTATACATACATATTTATGTATGTACTTATTTTTGATTTACTTATGATTGTTCGTTAGATAATAAATAACAGATTTAGAATAGAACTTTAAAGGTAAAAATATAGAGTAGCTAAAATGAAGAGAAAATACCATGGTAGTTTTAAAGAAAATTAATTTTTTCCAACTACATATATATTATTTTATATCTTTATCTTTTGCTCTAAATCGGAGATTATATAAATTATATACAATTCATCTATTTAGACATATTAATTCTTATTGTTAATTATTATTATTATTATTTAATATTTATTTATTTATTATTATTACAAGATTATTTATAATTTAATTAATATAAATATATTTTATTTAAATCCCTGTCTTTCGCTCTGAATTGGAGATAATAGACTTCACATACAATTCATCTATGGTTGTAGTCATATCAATTTTGTCTTAGATAATTGACAATATATGACAAGCGTTTTGCATTTAGCGTACATTTAAAAAATTAATTTAATCGAATTTTTTTTAAATAACACAACTAAACACCCACATTATTGTTGCTTACTCATAAATTATTCATATATTTATTTTCAATTCATTATTAAATTAGATTTAATGATCATCATAAAGCGATATATGAAAAAGGAAAGCTGTGGAGGAAAGAGGCAAGAGTATTGGCAACCATGACTACA